GGAAAAATGAGAAAAATCCTTACCCCACAAATCTGGATCCATTTGAAATGAACAGATGGCATTAGGCATTCTACAACAAAAGAAACCAAAGTGTAAAACCATATATTCTAGACAGAGACATACCGAATCATTCAAATTAAACCTTCTCATCTGAACAATTTACTGGATGCATTTCAGAAATTAAAYACAATTACATAAACCAAAATAGTTTTGGTGCCACATGCAGAGAAATGCCAGCAAATTGCAAGCTCTCYRCTCAGCATAAAGTRGGGATAATTCAAGTGACTGCAAAATTTTAGCAGGGCAAAACCAATCCTCAAAACAGTTTTAAGTACAGGAAATGGGATCTTTCACAATTAAGAGTCCAATGTTTACTACACAGTCCATAGTGTACTATTTCAGGTCACAGAGTGCATTTCTTTACACAAGACTCTTGCCAAGATTTATCGATCACAATTACTCACAAGCAGTTTCTAGAATTTTCAAGCAGAACTAAAGTTTTAGGCTGAGCTGCCATTATTTATTATTGACCTGATAAGGAAGGGAAAAAGGAAGCTTAACCATGAATCTACTTATTTAAACTCTGAAAGCAAAAGTAGCTATGTGCCTGTAAGAATGGAAATGGAGTGTCTCCCCATAGGATTTATTTCATTGATGCACTAAACTATGTTGTATTTCCAAACACAAAAATATAAATAAGAATTAACTGTAGTAACAATCTTTCAGTTAAGATTGCAGTTGCAAAACGCTAGGTATGATGAATCTAAGTTGCACAAGATTTCAAAGACCATCTATATGATTTATTGTGGAGAAAAAAAGGAAATTTTGCTAGCATAAACAAAAATTAGATAGTTGAAAATGATCTAAAACTTAAACAATAAATTTGGTGTTCAATCTGAACTTAAGCAAAAGTTCACTTATTACACTTTTTTCAGTGAAAATCATTGATCATTTGTCAGAAACATGACAAAATACTTACCAATTATGAGGCATAAATATTCAATCATCTAAAACTATTGAGTCTACCATAAATATGCTCCTCACTATTTTAATTGGTGAAAGCTGCAACTTTGTGTTTCAGTCCCTAAATAGCCTAAATTTAAGTACTTAAAATACTGGGATACAGATTTGCTTTAATAGTCTTTTTCATTCAGGACTAGTTTTTACTGAAGTCCTTGTTTGAAAGACTTTCTATGTTTCTTTTCCACTATTCTATTTTCTTCCTTGCTAAGGGTTCTGTAAGACTACAGCTCTGCCCAGCATTTACACAAGCATGTAATTTTACCAATAGATACCTATCCATATGCAATATATATGAAAATATGATATAACTGCTCCTAAAATAGCTGCAGTAGTAGGTGCTTCTGCTTAGCATCACAGAAAAGTCCATGTATGGAAATCAATTAAATCAGAAGACACTAAGCAATCAATTAAACATTAGTTTTTAGTGAAAGCTACATGTAGTAACCTAGAAGGCAGACTTACAAGCACACAGCTTGCCTCTTTTTTTTTTCCTCTGTACCAGAGGTACAGAAAATAAAGAAAATGGATGAGTGTAAAAATATCCATGTTAAACTCACTTAAATTAGAACTCATTAGAATTGACTCACTCAAGTGAGAACAGATCCACTGACTTACTGAGTTATACAGCCTGCATAATCTCTGAGTGCTCAATACTTAGTGTAAGATGACCAGATCCCTATCCAGTACAGCACGTCTAACATTTAAATTACCCATATGATAAAACATTCTACAGCCTTGTACTAGGGTATTCAAGCAAAGTCAAAGTTAAGCATGTGTTTATGTGTTTTACCAAACTGGCCATCATTATACAGGATCATATCTATGAACACTCCCTCCAAAGACTTACAAAAGACATTATTAATGTATGTACAGTCTACATTTTCATAAACAAAACTCTATGAACGGTTCAGATCTTGACTGCTGTAGGACTGCCTGGGTGAAATGAACAGAATCTACTTTTGTGTCACCACATGAACACAATATTAAAGTAGAAGCACTATCTGCCACCCATGAAATCTGAAGTAACTTTGTTCATTGATACACTACTTCAGCCTGTGTGTTATACTTCAGAAACTTGTGAGCTTTAATAATGAAAAACACTTAAGAAAACAAACAAACAAACAAAAAAATAAAGTTATGTACAGGAAATAAAAGGTTACAATTATAAATCCTGGTCCCATTAACATGAATACTCATGTGTAGAACAAGACTATTTTTCTTGAATTCTAGTGGAATGTGAAAGAAAAGTAATATTTAATTACTTATATGTAATTTGTTTGCCTTACAGGTTCCCAGAATATGTACTTTAGCAAATAAAATGCAATTTGAAACATGCTACATAATTGAATTAAAGTACAGAGAAAGACAAGCCACATGAATTAAGGCAGAAATCTCCCAACAGATCAATTGACTTGATCACAGACTTTTCTTCTTTTGAAATCAGACAACATATGATCAACATTTTAAATATGCAAAAAAAGAACCTACAATTACTTTTGTTTCCTATGAAGGGTGAAAACATTCCATGTTTTGTTCAAAGGCCAAAATTATTGTCTCTTCTTAAATACAGTAGCTGTGCTTACCTTCCTGTCATTACTAAAGGTCCAGAAGTCAGATGGAACCACCAGAGATGTCCAGTATTTTCACAGCACTTAAAAGTTGACTTCAAGACACAGCTCTAAATGTTTTGCTTTTAAATTAAAGCTGCTCACAACAAATGCCTAGCAAAGGCCCAGATCAAAGTATCAGGTAATTGTCTGAGCAGTCAAAACAGAGAACACTAATTAATTAGTAATAAATATCCTGAATTATTAAAGATAAAACTTCTTTGATCTTTGTTTCAAAGCAATTTTTTTTTGATTGGAGTGCAATACTGCTAAATTGAGGGGCCTTTACTAAGCATCTCCCAGTTGCTGAGAAACAGTGTTACTATAGAAACTGAAAATGAGGTGGAAGCTGACACGGTAACGCAGAAAGCACAGTGTGCTGTAACAAAGAGTTGGGGAAGCTATACAAAGAAAAATAGTAAGCCCTAGTGGTAATGTCCTAGAATAAGAATACTCAGACCAACCAGAAAGCTCTTCAGTACATCCCAATGCTAGGGTTTATGAGGAATCTATATATAACATTTGTAAGACACATACATTTAGCTTAAAGCCCTTTTTCATAAATTTTTCAACAGTTACTTGAGTACCCAGGTGTAGAAGTCATTAATACCATGAATATCCTGTATACATAACATTACTTAGTAACTTGTGCAAAAATGTGTACCAGAAATTGCTTATTACTTACAGAAAACAAAACTTAGTGTGTTAAAACTGTAATCAACTTTGAATATGTTATCATATTTTAGCTTTCCTATTATTTTTATTCTTTCTTTCTCTCCTTGGCAAAAGCTAGAAAAAGAAACTTTTCCATTCCCTTATTCTTCCATGAGGGAAGACCTGAACTTCCCTGCAGACCTCTAGACAAATCCAGTTAGAATAATTTAGAATACATGAGACATCCCAAACAGTTTTTTTTTTACTTTCTACTCCCAGCCTCTGAGAAGAAAGGTTTTCAGATGGTGACTCCAAAGTCCAATAAGCCTACTTATATATTACAGGAACAGTTATTTTCCTTTTCATTAACAGCTGGAAAGTGCTGGTGCTTGAGCTGCAGTTTGTTTGAACAATCTCCACAGGCAGAATAAAATAATTCAACGAGTAAGACTGCTAAAGCCTATACATATAGAAAAAGCCTGAAGGTAAATACACATTAGAGAAATGAACTTTTGCTCTTACGTCTTGGAGAAGGAGCCATAGAGAAACCAGGTGCTTTGTAGAGACCAGTAGCATCCCTCTCTGTTATGCTCCCTTGAGACACTTGCCTCCAGATGCTCCTCAGAAACTTAGCTGATCTGTGCATACTCTACTAAAAACCAATTTCCTGGAGATCACTTCCTCATGAAACAAATGATTCCTATGCCCTTCCTTCAAAACTTTTTACAACACGTCTCCACAATTTCTATGTGAACTCTTCCATAAAGAATACTTATAACAATATCTCAGTTCCTCTAAAGATTGCTTTCCTATTTACATTTCACATAAAATTCCACATTCTTCCAGCTCCCTTGTGATACCTGAGTTTTCTAAGCTCCTCTTTCTAAGACCATTGAGACACCCCTCTCATCCTGTCCTAGCCAGTAACAAATACAGTTCTTCTCATATAAGAAGTCTACCCCTATTCAAAGCTTGAACCTCAATTTGAACACAAATAAAGAATTTATTGCAACTATACATAACTGATTCAAAGAATGGGAAGCTTTGTATTTTGCTTTAAAAATATCTGATAAAAAATTAGCGAGTAATGTTTCATTAACACAGTCTCCATCACTTAAGACACCAAAAACATGCAAGTGAAACAGACTCCACAACAATTTTATTTAGAAAATAATTTAATTATGGTTGACTTAAAACACATGAGTATGCCCTTGAAACCCATKAAATAAAWAACTGGTTTTGAAATATTTTTCCAYCTAGAGACTTCCTGGGKTTTTTTTAATGAGGAAAATACTGCAAAAGCTACAGCAATGCTCAGACTTTTTTTGTAGTTTGCTCTTTTGAGCAATGGAAACTTTATTTTAATGTGGGAATATCCAGTGTTTTCTCATCCAGACAACTCTAACTAAAGTGACCCAATAGGGAAGATTTCCATTCTTATAAAAAAAAAAAAAAAAAAAAAAAAAAAGCTATTTTTGCTAGCCTCCTAAAACATTTCCACATGCAAGGAGATAAGCAGGGCACTTCAGGAATACTTGAACACCTGATACTGATATCACAAGAGAAGACACAACCAAGCAAAATTCTGCTAGCAGTGGGAAAGCCTCTGCTTAGTGTTTAATGCTGACACAAGAGGAATGGGACAGCTCTGCATAACAGCAGCTCCACACAAGTGGAGAGCAGACAGGGAAGGACACTCTTACCTAATTGGAAAAATCCTGTCTGGCTTAAACAAGGTCATGATTAGCTGAATAATTAAATTCTGCATTCATCAAGAATATCTTATTGTGTCTGTAGTCCTTTCCCAAGAAACAAGCATGGATAGCCAAAAGGCTTATGAGCTCACTAGAAGCTCTGGGCATCAAGGTCCAAATGGTTTCCTCATTCTTCAGCCTGCCCTTAATAGAGAAAAACAGCTCATAGTACAGAAAGGGCTGATATAAAAGCACTGGAAAGAAATTGAAGGAAGGGACAAAGAAAACAAACTAGGGAAAAGATCTGCAGGAATGAAAAATAAAAAGAAATGGCAAGGACATTGGAAAAGTGCAGGAATTTCACAAGCTGAGAATAGAGAAAAAGTGAAAAAACAAAACTAAAACATGCTTCCATGTTCATCTGTTCTTATTCTGATGAATGAGGGCAGAGAACTTGAAAAGCAAGTTAAATAGGAAAAGCAGCACAGAAACACTTGGGAGATGTGGAGATTTTATTCTGCTTCATATGGACGCATTTCTTCTATTTCCTTTAGTGCAACGAGCTTTTCCTAAATGGAAGAAAAAGCACTTTTAATACCACCCATTCTTTTAATCTATGATTCTAGCACAAGCTTAAAATACGTTAAAACAAAATAATTCTTACACATTACTAGTATGACTGAAGATCACAAAATCTAATTGAAGCTAGAATGTAGAGTTTGGAAACAGTATTTTTTAGTGTTTCAATAGTAAAAATAAATTCTTTTTGCCTCACTAAGTGACAAGAAATTCATTATTAAATTAGTGCTCAATAATTTTGTATTTTAACTCTAGTAAGGTCTGGCCTTCATTAATGCAGAGTCACAGCCATAAAAATGCCAAAATATATGTCTTCTGGCATGGAAATACTCTCAATACCACATAAGCAAAATCAACATAGAATTTAGAAACATTAAATTAAAGGCAATACATCTGTTTTGCGGGCTGAACTTTGGAGTGCAAATTTTATACTTTACATAGGTAAATTTATTTTATCATCTCCTTTTTGCGCAGAAGAACAGTTGTCCATTTCAATGCATAAATACTACCTTACACTTATAAATATCTGGTCTTTACCATGCATAAGTTGTGTGTAGTTGGTACGTCTAACAGTCAAGGTCTCAGTGTTCAAAGTGGTGTCACAACGTGCCCATAGATGGCAGAATGGGCACACATGAGACACAAGAAATCCTTACCTGAACCAGCTCGTGGGATAAACGTTCTAGAACTTTTTGGGTCGTTTCATTAATTTCTAATTCTGTGATGACTTCCCAGTTACCATTCTGGAACCTCACTGGCATAGAGAAGATAATTTCTTCAGGAATGCAAAACTGACCTGAAGAAAAGGGGAAAAACATGACAGAACGTGTTATTTCTGATTACATCCTCACCAGCTTCAACCCAGTCCTACAGACTTGTAAAAGTCTGTAACTAGAAGATCTCAGTATAAATGGAGACTGCCTTTTTCAGTCTACAGTTCAAAAGAGAATGTCCCTTTTACTGTAACTTTGTACTTTAGGTACATGTACATGAATCCTAGCATCAGACTAGTTTGGGTAGCAAGGGACTGTCAAAAGGTCTCTAGTTCAACCCTCCTGCCCTGATGGGCAGGGACATCTTCAAATGTATCTGAGCCCCATTCAACTTGACCTTAAAAGTTCCCTTGGTTGGAGCATCTCCCACCTTTCTGGGCAGCCTCTTCCAGTGTCTTACCACACTCACTGTAAAAAATGTATTTAAATCTAATCTAAATTGACACTCCTCCACTTTAAATCCATTAACCCTTGTCCTATTGCAACAGGCCCTCCCAAAACGTTTATTCCCATCTTTTTTGCAATTACTTTTAAGGATTGGAAGGTGCTTTAAGGCCTCCCCAGAGCCTTCTCTTCTCCAGGCTGAACAACCTCAACTCTCTCAGCCTCTTTTTGTAAGGAAGATGTTCATCCCTGTGATAATTTTGTGTGCCCATGCTCTGGACCATGTCCAACAGGTGTCTTTCCTGCATTGTAACACAATTGCTGTACCAGTTGTACATCTTAAAAAAGGGGAAAAGATATTTATTTCATAAAAGGGTTAAATGGCCACTGTGAAAGGTTCTATTTATTTGTTCACATAACTGCACAAGAAGAATACACTTTTATAGTCTAGGCTCTAAGAACTATAAAGAGCTCCTGCACAAAAAACATACATCAGAAAAGCATTTAAACTAAAAGAGTAAGGCATGATCTTCATAAAAACAGTATTAACCCAAGAGATGCCTGTAAAAAGTGAGCATTATCACAAGCTGTTAGATTTGGAAGTTCTTATGATGAAACAAACTCTTAGCCTCACATGATTTGTTTTACAAGCTTTTATTAAATTAAAAATATTGATTAAAAATAATATTAGAGATAGGGCAAGGCTATAATTTGTAGGGCAAAGCTACAAGAGAATATGTGAAGCAAAAAATGGATTTACCTTCACTAAGTATTCCCACAGAAACGATCTCATCAGAAGGAGAGTCATGGTACCAGTACTGCAGTACAGTGGCTACTGCATGAGCAGGCAACATTCCTGTACAATGAGACACCTGGGAACTCAGTGTACTCTGTGCAGATAGGATTTCTGAATGGATCCATTCACTACCAACAAAAAAATGGGGAAAAAAGGGATGAAAAACTAAGATGATTGCAGGAAGAGTAGTTTCCTAGAGAAAAAAAACTAAATCCTAGAAAAGAAAATAGTAAAAACTTACTCAGACTTCACTGCTGAAGTCAAAGTGTTTACAGACAGAGAAAATAAAAAAGGTCAAACAAAAAGTAGCTCTAGAAGTAATAAGTACTACTTTGAGAAACTACTAGTACTACTGTGAAAGTCATAACCTCTATTATTACTGTAATTCATAGTTATTACAGCCTTATGTAAGAACCCAGCCACAAACCATAATCTCCCTGTGCTAGGCACAGTACAATCACAGGACAAAAGAAAGGTCTGCTCTCCAGTAAATGCCAAGTTTAGAGCAGAGTGGGAGCTCTAGATAGACAGACCTGGGCGTGTCACACCTGCTGCACTCTCACTGCACCCACCCTTTCTCTGCTACTGTTCTCTCCACAGGAAGCTATCTAGCTGCCAGGTATCCTTTTCAAATGGGTTAACAAATCATCTGTTTCGGGGAACTGACAGTTCGTATGCTCAGGCCAATTCCCTCTAATCCAGGAACAGATTCCTGTTTAATACTATTTCAAAGTTTCGTCATGCAAACTAGCTTTTGAAATCACTACCCAGACCTTCATTACTTCTTATAAAGTGTTCATGATAGGATACAAGAAAAACTCACTTAAAATGTAGGAAAAATAGTTATAAACAAAGATGGCAGGAAAGTCAGAACCATGATGTATAACACTAGGAACTACTCAACTTCTTTTGCAGATAGACCACCTCAAATTGTGTTTTCCTTCATGTACAGTGACAATCAGTAAAGACAATTCTTAAAAACAAAACCTTTCTTGATGTTTTATTACACAGGTCAGATAAACATGGATTAAAAGCAGTTCTTTTGTTTTACTTTAAATAAATAAATCTGTACTGTACCTATCACGAATCATATTCAACAAAGAACGTGGATAAGTAGGGGGTCCCCAAATAGCACAGTCATATCCATAAAGTTTTGCATGTGACAAATCAATGTAGTTAGAGCCAGTAATATTTCCCCAAACAATCACATCTTTAACTCCTGTAACAGAGGAAAATACATAGATTAGTGAAGAGCCAAATAATTTCAGAAAAATAGGCTTCAGAAATCCCTTTCAATATAAATTACTGAAATCAGTAGCCTGCCTTTCTAGCAGAAATTATTGAATCTGAAAAATGCAACCAAGTTCTCTAGACTATATGAAACCTCAACACAAAGGTGAAAAAGGAGCTTTAATTTATATCATTTTACTGTAAATAATAGACAAAATCTAATAAATATTTAATTCTTAAAACAGCAACAAATCATATTGCAAACATACAGCAATGTTCCTACTAAAATCATGTAAAAACAAATATATAAACAATAAAAACAATAATTTAAAAATAAAAAAAACAACAAACTACCAGCTTTGGTGAAAATGRYTTTRTCAAATAACCTGCTGATAGCTATTYAGCCTATTAACTGGCTTTTCTATTTTATTAGGCTCCAAAATATTTAGATTTGTCATCAATGACCAGTTCTGCCTATGCAACACTCGCTGAATCCTGATGCTGAGCAGACTGTTAGACCACACCTTTGCTATGCAGTGCAGAAATGTGYAAATATAACCAAGCTATAACAATTGACCTGAGAATGAAAGTTAATTAACCCCAAAATAATACTACAAAACRKTTTTATTTTACTCTCATTATCTGCACAGCAGTATGTTGTCATGTTTATTAACAGCTCCAAAATAGCAATGCAATACAGAGTGCAAATGCAATCTTGAAGTSCTACTTCCCAATCTGCAACACAACTATCTTCCTTAGCATATTTCCAGCACAAAATACACCAGAGTGGCAGGGCTGCATCCTGCAGCAAGCAAAAGACACCCCAGCATTCTGTACAGCCAAGAAATTCAGGGGCTGGACCTCTGTTTTTGCATCTCTGCATGATCATCAACTGTGTTCTGGAATGAAATATTAGTCYCAAAGATGCACTGAGTTCCCCAAATGCTACATAAACATTCACCTGCTATGTTTGCATTCAGCTTCTTGGCCAGCATGGCTTTAGCTGCACTTTCCCAGGATGTTGCAATGGCAATGATATTTTCAGGCCTAATGGATGGGCCATATGTCCTAATCATTATTGCCTTAAGGTTTGCAAAGGTTTTCCCTGCTGTAATTACTTTGACGTCACTCTTGGCATTCTTCTCAATCAAGGGAGCATACACTTGGCAGATCTCATTCACTTCTCTGATGTAGTTCTCAAGGGGTTGGACTTCAAGGTTTAAGAGGACATCATCAAGAACAATGATAATATCAGCTTCAATAAAAGCCTGATCTATTTCTGTGTGCTCTGAAATACTGCGGAGAAGYGGGAATGCCATGTCTTCAGCTTCCATTACAATGCCACAAAGAATTTGCTTAAACTGGTCCGTGTCAAACAAATGGATACTGATTTCTGTGGTCATCCCAAACACTTCTCCATTTGCCAACAGAGGGATGAGATGATAACAGATTGGAGCTGATGCACTGGTAAGAGGAGAATGTATAAAAGTTACAATGAGTTACAAACAATGAACAACCACTTGTTTGGAAGTATTACATAAACACAAAGGCATGTATTTTGTATTTGATTATGTTTAAAGATACYATTAGCTTGGATCCTCACTGCTCTTTTTGTCATTTTAATAATTCAATAATTAAAACAGTTGGGTCCTCCTTTCATTTGAAGGCTTTCCCATCCTGTTTCAGTTGACACTGTCACTTAAAAATTGATGCCKTAATAAAACTTCCATTTTAAGGTGCTCTATTACAATTACTATAAATACAGAAATTTCTAAAGGTAGAACTGCAAGAGACTTTACCTACATTAATATTTCCAACAACATTTAATGCAAAATTTTTGCACTATAAAATTTCTAGCTTATTTTGYAAATACTTGCTTTTCTGTAAACTGATCTGAGGTCTAAACGATGCCTGTTCACACCCCTCATTTAAACTGGAGTAAAAAGTAACAAAAGCATAAATTATTTCTAAGTCATATACTCACTGCTCATATTTTGTGGTGCAGAACCCAATTCAAATCATCAAATTACAGGGATTTGCATATAACTTCAGATGATTACACCTGTTATATGTGGTAGGAAAAAGTGCATTCTGCTGAATGGAGTAAAAGTTCATAGATATCCTCTTCACTCCCACCTGGTGATCCAGATSTGCAAAGGCTTGATAAGACTTTTAATCTCTTCATCCTCTTGTACAATTTCAAGATGTGCCTGCAGGTTCTCCTCAGCAATGTCTGACATTTCCTCACTCAGCATCATTGAAGTGATGCCATAATATTTCTAAGAACAAAAAGGATGATCTCTAATCAAATGGCAGCCCAAATCCATCAAGGTAATATTAACAATAGTTTTATTTTAGAATGAAGGTGGAAAAAAGAACAATATTGTAAAACATGGATTTACAGTATTAAAGGCAGCTTATTACCTGAGCATATTCCAGAAAATCTTTAAGTCCTCCCAGAAGCTGACCCTTCCCTCCACGGTCCAGCAGTTCTCTCCAAATGATAGGAGACTGACTGTGTTCCCATCCATTTGTTTCACAAATGTCATGAAGCCACTGCTGATACAAACATCCCCAAATGTTTTAATACTTCACATTTGATTACATTTAAACATYACAGCTACAAGCATTCTTACTATTTCCTCTCAATACATAATTACAAGGTGTTTCAGAATTTATGTACCAGTGGGTAYAAYATGAGGTAAGGTATGATGATACACTGGRATAGYTCACTTAAAGGTCTTGATTTCACAYAGTTGTCTCARTGACACAGAAGAYAGCAATTTYGTGAAGCASCAAGTAATCTGAKGATTCTTACTTAGCCACAGCAGGTAAGTAATGTGAAGATGTTATTTGCTTTTCACGTAACTGTTCAAGTTACTTGGCAGARGTGTCAAGCAAAATATCTGAGGTAATAAATATCATAGTACTATCTATCTCATGGAGTAAGAGTGAAGTTTTCTCAGAGCTTTACAGGAACTACTGTATAGTAGCATGTCTACAGCATAAGTACTCAGAAAGGGCCACATATTTGTAAACAAATATGTGATATAACTTCAYACTTCCACTGTAATTCAAAGCCTTTGAATGCCACAAATGCTTTTGAAAAGTAAGAACTCTGAAGCTATATGTAATCTGAGTGAGCAAAAGGTTTACAGGCTTAACTGCCATTTATACACTAAAAAACCCAGAAAACCAACCAACCTACCAACCAAGCAAAACCATCTTGAATTTTTTACTGACATAATACAGCTTTAGGCTGGCTCACATTTTGTGCATTTTCTGTGGTAAAACTCTCAGAGATGTCAGTTGCTCAAAACATTGAAACCTTTCCTCTGTCTGGCTCTCACAGCCAAAGCTACTTCTGCAGCACCTCTATCCACGTATCAAACCACTAWTACAAGAGAAGAAAAACATAACCCAGGATAAGTACATTTCTACAGTTTGTAGAGCACTGGGGCACCTACCAGCGGCTTGATCTATAAACCCTTACCTCCCACTTGTCAGGGTGCTGMGTAATCTTGTGAACCTTGAAGTTGGGCAAGTTAGTCTGGAGACAGTCAAGCAGGAGTTCAGCTTTGGCATAGTAAGGGCAATTTGCCTTGCCTGTGAACATAGCAACAGCACCACAAATGCACGGTTTTGACATTCACTGATAAGAGCTTTAAAGACCAAACGTTGTTTAATGTGAGCTACAGAAGGATGACACTGCAGGTGAAACAGACTCTCGAACCAGCGTTCAAGAGGCCGAGGATGCCACCCATGGGGGGACAGCAGCAGAGGGGCTGAAACCTCACGGACGGGATGAGGGGGGAACGCTGACCCGGGACCGGCTGAGATCGC